CTCTGGGTCTCAATGGAACAGAACTAATGGGAGACAATATTCAGTATTATTCTGAAAGGGAAATGAAGAAACAAATGCTTTGTCACGAGAAGGAGCTAACTAAACATTTCAGTATTTCCTAAATTATTTTAGCAAAGCAGACTCTGTCTCAATTTGTGTCACAGTCATATCATGAGTCAGAGAATGATTTCATTGATCTGCCCCACTCTTCAGTCTTTTAATGCCACCATTGATTAGATAACTGAGATTGTTGTGTGGGAGGAATATCATGACAGTAAAAATGAATGTTCTTTTAAAGTGTAATTAAAAACACAGCTTGAAGAATTTTTTTGTGTCAAAGATATTCAAAAATTGCTTTGACACAAAAAAATTTATTCACAAATATGAAGAAGTCAGCTTTGATGGACTCCTCCCATGGTCACCTTGGTGAATGGAAGGTAGCCCTCCTGGTCATGAATGCTTTGGAAATTAATGGTGGCATTTGGGATAGAACAGATGACTAGCACTAATTCATGTGAGGTTACTGGGTACCTCATAGGAAGGAATCTGGAGACAACAGGGATTCTATGCAAGGCCCTGGAAACTAAGAAAGCAGTCCTTTGGGAAAGGAATGCCCATGTGTGTACCATAGATACAGCCTGGGACTTTACAACAAGGCACAATTGGGTTCACATCACACTTGCTCTGGGGAGTTGCTTACTTATCATCCTTGATACTGAATTTTCTGATGTGTAAAATGGGGATAAAACTATTTAGAATTATTTACTTGATATAATTATTATAAAGGAAAAAATGAGGTGACGTCTCTAAAAGGCTTAGCAGGATGCCTGATACATAGAAATTGCTTGATAAATATCCTTTCTGTTTCCCTCAATGAGAGATACGGAAGACATGGGATGAGGGGTGTAGGAAAATTACTACTTTCTATTAATATATCGGCTTAAAGGTGTAGTTAGTGCTACTGGCTTTTCTGTAATTCGTGGGAGAAACTTGCGTAACAGTGCCCAGGAGGAGGTGGGATATATCCCCAGCAGGAAATGTGATTGACTGGTGGTTCAGAGTATAAACTTCAGGCAGACTGCTCTGTGTTCTAATACTGGTTCTGACACTTTCTGTGTGTTTTTGGATAAGTTATTTAATCTTTCTGGCCCTGTTTCCCTGTATGTGCAGTAGAAATGATACTTACAGGGTGTGCAATAGACCCCTGGTTTGCTTGGCTAACCTATTTCCTTTATTCTCCATGACTTGATTCTCTTTTCTCAAGGAAGAGCTCTTGCAGCCATGCTTGTCTACATGAGCATGTTCCTTTGCTTACAACTGATGAAGGGACCTGGGTGGGGGGCGGCAGGTCACTTGACTTAGGAGGATCCAACCCATTGGCTGGGCTAACACAATCAGCTTGTCTCTCGGAGGAGGACTAAATGACATGGTGAATATAAAGTACTTCACACAGAGCCCAGGGTGTAATGATGTTTCAGTAGTTTTTAAATCAAAGTAAAAGCCATTTCCTGGCATCTACTCTTCCACTTTCAAAATGTCTGTCTACAGTCACTGTAATTTGGATAGTTGGTACAAGCCTAATAGGCAATGCTGGTGAGAACTTTTCCCAGGTTTTGAAGTGACAGCTCAAACCAAGAGAAGGATGACATTCCTATCTTTATATCCCTTTCATGCCAGGGACATTTCTGAATAAAGCATGTCTTAAACAGTTTTCTCTGGAAAAGCCTAACAATTCTCATGCTAGAAATTTTAATGTCATAGTCCCAGTCTAGGTATATTTAGACCTAAGATTGCTTATTTTTAACAAGTCCAACTAGGAAATAGCAGAGGTGAAATATTTTTAACCATGCCTCTTTCACATGGGCACCCTCTGTGTCTACAGTTTTAACCTCAGGAATGGCTGTTTACTTATTCTGTCCTTAACAGGTTCAGCTCATTAAACGCTGCAAAACTTATTCAGCAAGGATTACATCTGCTTTTGCTCATTAAACTAGAATAGGCACCATGGTGGGGAAAAGGTATGAGGGTTCAGTGCCTGTAATCTTAAGGGTCTCCAAGAAAGGGAAGACTCTCCTTAAACAATAAACACACGAAGAAACACTTTCCTGTTTGGTATTAATCTCAAATATTAGCCAATATATTGAAGACAGAATTTTACCCATCTATGCATTTTTCATCTTTCACAGTATTTCTTTTATTTTCTTCTTCAACTTCTTATGTCATGGAAATTGTGCTTCCTTTTCTTTCTTTTCTATGACCTGAAGGTCATTTTGATTTTTCTTTTATAGTTTTTATCCTAATTAAATTTTGTCAGCTGAATGTATAGATTTTTGTTTTGGTTTGGTTTGATTTTTGGTGGCAGAAAATTCTTTCTCTTTCTCTGTCTCTCTTTCGTAAAACAGAAAGTTTCCTGGTTTGGAATCAGCCAATGGTGTGATTAACGCACCTCGGAGATCCTGTAAAGTTTTCACTTATGCTGAAAGAGTCTGCAGTGTCTTTGGGATATCAATATGGACTTACAGGAAAATACCATCCTTCCAGTGCTATGCACTATGCAGGAGAGTCAGTTCATCACAGCATGGCAACCCCTACACACACTTTCCCTAAATTCGTATATATATATGTGTGTGTGTGTGTGTGTGTGTGTGTGTGTATATATGCATTCTGTAACCAGCAAAGTATAATCCAGGTTTCTTTTCAAAAGGAGCAACCGGTTCAAATGCACAGCTGGATATGCCAGCAAACACATAATTAGACAAATTGGATTTAAGAGTTACGTAAGGTCTTAACTGAGCCAGTGAATAAGAAGCTGAATGAAACGTTGTGATTGCTGCTCTGGTGCCTAGAAAGAACAGAATATGTGGATCTGTGTGTTTTGGGCAAATAAAAGGCAATTACTGGGAGTTATGGAGTGTAGTTGGCATTCCATGAGAGTTAGACTATAGAATGTTTCACAGTGGGTTGTGCTGGGGAAGAAAAATGTCCATGGCTAAAAGAGGAGCCTGTTAGAGGAGATGTACTAAAAAGAAAAGATTTGGTAAATACTATTTTGAAGCTATATTTTGCAAAAATTATATGATATGCATTTTTTCAATACGCTATAAAATGTCTTAGAGAATTTTAAGTACAAAAGGATACATTATATATTATTTTTCCTCTAAAAGTGGATGTTTCCAGCCAAGCCAGGTATATTCTGGAGAAGATAACAAGCAAAGTCTATAGTTCCAGAATTTTTCACTAAGAATACCAAAACCAGTGACTAAATATTGAAGATAAGCCCCCTCATAGAATTAAGAAGCTAAAGCTAAATTACCAGTTTTTCCTATTTGGAAATAATCTTATTTGCAAATTTGTCTCAAGGCAACAGAATGAAAAGTAGATATTCTTCTCTCTCGACAATCTCCACGAAGTAAACGGGACAAAAAAGCAACTGTCTGAAAGAGTCCTATTTTCTTAAAGAAAACATCCTGAATTAATTGATGAAAGTGCCTATTAATCCCCATGACACCAATGCTTGTAGCATTTAGGGCTTGTCTCTCAGTGTGCGATTTAAATATATATCCATAAAATCCTTGCCAATAATACTAATAACTTCTTGTCTATTGATGCCGACTAAATATTAAAATCTCTATTAGCCATCTCATGTTTGTTTGATATACTTTACAAAGAAGGTTTTGAACATGTCTAATTTGCAAAGCAGGTACTACAGACAGTGACAAATACAAAGATGAACAGAGTTCCCTTCCCTCAAATTTATAATCCAGTAAGAAAGACAGAAATATAATAGAGAAGTAAACATGGTGTCTTGTTGGCAACTTTGTCACATAGTAAAGGAAATTATTTTGAAGAATTTTATATTTTGCTTACATTGCTATTTGAAGTGTATTTTACTTGTGTTATTTAAAAGGGAAGTTCTTTTACATTGAAGGTATGTATGCAACCATTATGATGGTTACTATTAAGTATTATACACTACTTTTAAGCTGATGATCAAATAATTCTGCATCATTATGGGCACAGTAGTTGGCAAAAAATCGATTTATGATCTGTTATAATCTACAGATCATAAATCAAATAGAGATCTTTAATGGCAAGAAAAGTAGTAGTCTGCTAAGGACCAAGTAAATTCTCGTGTTTGCCAACCTTTAAATTCTTCTCAACAGCAGTCTATTGAGTTATCAAATTGTAAATGTTGTATTTGGAGAAGACACTCCCCTTATTTATTTACATGTGGGAAAGCTTTTCGTAGTTAGGTTGCTAGGGGCATAGTGATAGACAATCCAAGGGGAACAAAGCTTGGCAGAACATATGTGATTATAGTGTGGGCAGCTTCTGCTACTTAGTCTAAAACTCTTCTAGAAAGAGAAGGTTGTCTCACACATTCTGCTTTCAAAAATGCCAAAGAGGACAGGTAGATTTAGTATAACTTTCCCTAGGTTAAATGAAAGCTCTTCATCCTTAAGCTTGATATCTCAGTACACCCCTGACACAGAGAAGGATATTTACTGTTGTCCAGTGAACCTGCATTTAACTAAGGTACTTTATACACGTTTCCAGGCCAACAATCATGAAGCCTTCATTTCTTCCAATGACAGAGAACAAAGAATCTATCTGTCTTAAGTAAAATACATTCACGTAGTTTGATCACTAATAATTTTGTGACATTGTATCTTAAATCAGAATTCATTAAGATATAACAAATAAGGAGAATAAAGCAATTATTTGAAGCAGCACCCATTTATGATTGAAAATCATAGATCATTCTTTGGTGCTGCTCCCTGTTTTAGTTTCTACCAAGAGGAGTAATGTTAGAAATAAGTGAATACTTTCTATTGTGTTAGGGCCAAAGAGTCGTTAGTTTTGATCTGATAAAATTTTCCTCTAAACTTGAGTATTTGTAGACAGAACTTCTGGTTTGTAAAGCCAAATTCAATGTTGATCTTGTCAGAGGGACTAGAATAAGAACAAAAACACATACAAGTAAGAGAGTAGAGACTTACTGTATCACGTTGCCTGTTATCTTTCCCTGATATTATCAAGAAGTAGTTCCATGTCAATAGTAACAACAAAACCAGTGGTATCATGTAGAGCTCAAAGTTCCAGACAACAAAGAGAAAGAGCTGGAGGAGAGAGAAGAGAGAAGAAGGGATGAGTCAACACTGAATTTCATTAAATGGAGTCTTATTTATACTCTACTTCAAAAACCCAAAACCGAATGCTTCAGAACAGGAAGATTTATCTTGAAAACAAAGCCTTGGAAACTTTTAGACATTTTTCTAAAAGCATAACTGACCCTTGAAAAGTCACTGGTAAGATTTCCAATTTGTTTAATTTCTATTAAGGAAAAGTTGATATCATTACGTTGTCAAAGAGGAAATTTGAGTTTTTCTCCTCCAGTGAAATTATTGTTAAGTTGAACACAATTTGTAAAAAGCAGCAAAATGAACTCCACTACACTGTCAGAAATAGCCTGGTTTATCTGCCTTAATGATAAAAAATGAATCACTATTTAATATCAGGGACTTTTAAAAAATCTTACTTGGATAATACAATGTAACAAGATTAATAGGCAGATGAAAATACCAAGTCTACATCAGAGAGCCCCAAAGATTTCACAACATGAAAAAAAGCACTGCTACCGACAAGTGTACAAAATGGTTGGCTTAACATTTAGCATTACCATAGAAATCAAACAGCTATTACAAGGAAATTTTGTCAAAACAAATTTTAAAATGCCTATTTGTATTATTCTTTTTTTAACACTACCTACTTCTCCAAGTATATAAACTTTTTCATTGTAAGACAAATGTTAGATTAAGAACTCAGGGTGGCAGATGGAGTCATTCTAAGAACACTTACATTATAAAACAACACAAAGTTGGATATAAAGGATGACTCAACCCCAACCCACACCAGACTTGTAGTCCTGGACAGATCATCTAAATTCTCTGGGTCTGTGGCTTTTGCTGTCAAATTAAGGTAATGTTAAGGCAGGAGGCATTTAAAAACTAGATTCCACTCCTGACACTAATGCTAACTAGCCATATAACTTTTAAGCAATATATATATCCCCTCTTTCGTTTCTTCCCTAGTAAAATGGGGATAATAGGATTATCCACCTCAGGGTTGTAAGAATTAAACCCACTGCTTGGTGCACAGTCATTTCGCAAAAACAAAAACCCAAACCATTATTGTGTACATGTTATTAATACCTTACAAAACACAGAAAGTCAACTAATTATTGATTAAGGTCCTCAAGTAATACAGATTATAATACTGGAAGCTAGAAAGCCCTCTGCCTGCTAAGATTTAGCTGAACATAGCATAACTGGGACTTTCAGCCAGCTGGTTGGAATAACACAAACATCTTGCATTTGATAGGTCAGGAGAGTTAGGGGCAGTGCCCTAAGGACACCCGTGTCAGGCACAGCAGCATGGACCATTTGCAGTCTTCTTAACAAATCTCAGTGAAGCCTGCAGCCTATTTAAATAGCAGAGAAAATTAAACAGTGTGAAATGGTAGGGAGACTCCTGGCCTCAGGGCCAGGAAACCAAGGTTCTGAGCTTTAGAAAGTCACTTTGCCTTAGTGTTCCCATATCTTGACAGAGGTCTATAAATCTAATTGTCTTGAATATTTCTCTAATATTTAAAATGACTTCATGACATTACTGTACCATCTGTTTTTTCAATGTGACATTAAATTTTGAAAACTATGTATTTTACCGAATTCTTTTATATTCATAACCAAGAGGGCACCAAAAAGCACAAATAATAGTTAAGTAAGCCAAGAAATGATTTTGGACAGAATTACATAGTAACTATAGATTCAAGTTCCTGCATAAGAAAAGTTCCAAATATTGTAATACATGAAGCAGGAGCCATATCTTTTATTTTATGAGAAAAGTAGGAAGATTTCCAGAAAGAGAAAATATTTTCATTCAATTTTTGAAATTTATACCAATTATACAAAGATGATATAAATAATTGATGGTTATGATTATTAAAATATATTTTTATAAAGATAATTCTTTTTTTGGAAGTGAATTAAGGTAAATCTGACAGACATCAATACATGTAAAAGGGAAAATCATTTTTGGCTAGAGTCCATATTCTTTATATATTTAATTGTAATATTTAGGCAGTCACTAGAATATAAGCTCCTTTAAAGGTAGACTTTTTGTTTTCATTCACTGTTTTACCCCTAGAGCCTGGAACAGTACTTGAGGCATGGCAAGTGCTCAATAAGTAAATATTTACTGAATTAATGGATAAATGGACACTGGGTTCCCCAATCATTCAACAGAATTCTATTTAATTATTTGTATTAGCAAAAGTTCTATAGATCTACTACATAAAACCAAGTGACTTCAGGAAAATGCATTCAGAGTTACAACCTGGGATACTACTAACAAATTTCTCCCTCTGACAAAAAAGTCTACCTTAGTACTTCTAGACAAGATTTTCTTTCCATTTGGCTATGCAGTCATGAACTATTTTGGATATTATGGCCTTTTCTCTTGGACCTTACTTTATGTTTGCCTTTTCTGAGGGCACTCATTTGACTTAGTGTGTTCTGGCCTCATGGATGGGACTCAGATTATCCCATTGCTAAATATGACCAATTGTAATCTTTGTAACCTATTGAGCAGATATATTTTCCCTTCTAATTTCCATTCATTGGTGTTAGGTTCCTCGTCTTATTCAGAATGAATTTCCTTGTAATGTCCATGTATTGGTGTTAGCTGCAGGCCTGTCATCCACAGAAAAAACTTCCTAGATGACAATCCTGCAAGCAATCAAGACATCTCTCATGCCTTCTTCTTCTCTAGGTTTAACATCACCACTTACTTCAAGCATCGGTTACACATTATGGTTTCTAGGCACTTCCCCATTGTAGTCATCTTCCTCTTACCATATCCAAATCAACACATCAAAAACTTTCTTAAAATATAGCACTCAGAACTGACACACACTTATCACAAATGCCTGTGGTATTTTTATATGTCCTAATAACACGGGTACCAGAACATGGATTGGGGAAGGACAGAGGAGAGAGAGAGACAAAGGAAGAAATTATGTTCATTTTAGGAATTCTGGCAATGGCAAAACCATCTCCTTTTCTATTGTGGTTTTAATAATCTAATATTTGGGTAATTGAGTGAGGAGCTTCTACTGTTGAAAAAATATATTTTTAAAACATGAGGGCTTTGAATAAATTGTAAATACAAAAGCATTTATTTTTCTTTTTCAGCACCTAAATGAAGATTTCAAAAGGTTAAAGAACATGAACACAGATTAACAATAAAAATGTATTGATTGAACAAATACGTTATGAAATATTAGATGTTTGAAAGTAGAACAGTCAATCATTTATTCAATATAATATTAGTGATGATTCTACTTCCTGTTAGCTGGTGAGGCTCCTCTAACAAAGAGAGCCCTCAAAGGAAGAAAGGAGCTTTTTAGCTCATTCACTCCACACTGAAGCCTCTTCTCTCCTCTCTCTTCGGAAAGAGATCAATCTTCTCCTCTTTCCTATAAAAAAACTGAGATAACACAAAAGACCTGGCCTTTAGTGTCCCACTAGAGTAGTAAGAGAAATAAGGCAGCTGGAAGAAACCCAAGGAAGGCCATGACAATGAAGGATCTGTCCATGGTCCTGATTATACATTTTCAGAGGTATGGGGGAAACAAGAGATATAATAATGCATTAAAATGGGATGGAAAAAGAAATCAAGAAACAATTTTTAAAATCTCTAATGTATTCACAGAATACAAAAATAAACCATAAAATGTCTAGAATTTGTCCAGATCTGCATTTCCGGACTGCTTTTTGCCTCTGTGGGTCATGGAACGAGGACCTGCAGATTTTAGAATTTTTTGATGTAAAAGTGTAGTGATAAGGACACTCACAAATGTCTACACAGTGTTGAATTCCTTCACATCCTTCACTACAGCACCCTTTCTGTATTTTTTCCTCTCTGTCACATAATCTCATCATGTCTCCCCCATCTCTCCTTTTAATAAGGAAACTTAGGCTGTCTACATTTTACTCTCATGGAATACATACCCAATTCCAAACAAAACATCTACCCCTACATTAGTTATCCATGTTCATTAGAGACTAGAACTATTCCAAGAATTTGGTGGCCTTCTTTTTTAATCATTAGATGGCTGTTGTAATTTACAATTAGAATTCAATACCAGAAAATCTTTAGGGGGCATTAGCCAAATGGTAATAAGTACACACAACCCCCTTCATTAGAAAGAGAACACTGAGAGTTTTACTTATTATCCTGCATGTTAGAAGCTCTTTGTCAACTGGCCTTGGTCTGTTAGCCACGACTATGGGATCCCTCAAGGAGCTGCTGCAGCGTGGTACAGTAGACAGAAGAGTATTTGAATCAGGCCTAGGGCATCCAAGCTCTCTAGTCACTAGCTTTGGGACCTTGGGCAAGTTACTAGATTTCTCTTAGTTTTGTCATCTGAAAAGAGAAAATGATACTATTTACTTGGCAGATTTGAGAAGCAATTAAGCTGATGCTTGACACCTATAAAATGCTCAACAAGCATTACTACGTGTTATGACAAGCAGGAATTCATTGGCTTACACTACATATAATTTTTTGGCCCTTCTAGTGGCTTATCACTTTTCATATACTACCCTAGAATCTATAGCTAATGATTGTTTCAAGAATAAGAGCTATGCTAAAGGAGTCATGCCAACTAAATAGAAAGAGATGATGAAATGAGTGCCACTTTCAGTTTTTCATATTTAATTTGTGGTGACTGAGTGCAGTAATAACCCCAATTTTTCCATGTTTCCCTGTATCCATGACTTTTATAATAGCCTCCCACAATGACTGAGATTAGGCATATAACTTATTTTGGTCAACGATAGAGTAGCAAATATGATGAAAACAGAGGCTTAAAAAAACATGGGGCATAGTTGCTCCATCACCCCAGTAGAAAGCCAGACAGCATCCAAAGCAAAGCCACCTAACAGACCAGAAGCCAACCAAAGACGCAAGAGTGAGCCCAGCTAAGCCTAGTCCAAACTGCTAACAAAATCATCACTAAATAAATGATAGTTGCTTTAAGCTACTAATTGTGGAGCGG